CCATTTGCTACCTCCACGTTTTTTTGTCTGCCAATGCTATGGCACTTTACTTTGTAATTCATGTTTTAGCATTTTGTTTATACCTCAATCCATTCTCAGGATTCCTCTGTGAATCCTGAGGGAAAAGCCAAGATAAAAACCTGTTGCATTTCTCAACAACCTTGTTCCACTTACGATTTTGTGTACTTGATTTTGGATCCCTTGCCATCCAAAAAGCCATATTTCGTGTCAATCACCTCCTTGGTCTTGCCAGTTTCATCGAAGGAAGTCTTCAGTTCCAAAGCAACATACTTGCAAACTAAATACAGTCAAAATTCAAAACAATTAGTAATGGTAATTGTGACTGCTGATCTGCTGTATTACAAATGTTGCTCAATTTTCCACTAGCTTATGGCAATGAACATTCTGTAAAGCAGTTGAGTAGCCTCACTACTCCATTTGCAAAACTTAATGACTTGCTATGCATGGATATAATGAAAATTCACATACACATAGTACTAAACTCTTTATACCATGCATTGCTCTATGCTATCCAGAACCACATTTTTTGAAATTAGGCAACCACAGAAATTCTTTACATAATAAAACAAAACATACATTTGCTGTTCCAATGAGCCCACACAACTAGCTTTGCTGAACTCATTTTTTCAGTCTAAATTCAGTTTGCTTTCTTTACACTGCAATGCTACCTACTTTAAAAACTTTAAAAACTCACACCTAGGGGATCATATTTCTTTCTGTTCCTCTTTTCTTTTTTACTCATCTCACCCTATTTTAGTGACAACATTTTTTCAGATCCTTTTTCCATTCTATTAATACCATAACGTTTTTAACTAAAAACCCCAGCCTTCTTTGAAAAACAGCCATTTCGTGGTTATCATTCGCTATAGTAATAAAGTCCTGTCATATAATTTATTTTATTTGCTAACATTTATATCTGGTGTACTTTTAAACTCTCCAAGCAGCTAATAGGCTGCAATATAAAAAAAAAACATAATGATGAGAATGTTATCCCATCATTCCCAGATTAAAATCATTTATTTTACACCTCCCAAATAACTTTGTAGCACTAATGTCATTTCATTAGTTATTACATTAGTTGCCTTGTGGAGAGATGGGCAGCAAACAAATGTAATAACTACATTTGAAGTATATAAACATTTCCTCATATTAGGAGTTTCTAAACACAATTACTCCCTACTCCCTATATTGTTGCCTGCCCCATCCCGTAAATCTATTGTACTATCTCACTATATGTTACTCTCATGATTACAACTTAAAAATAACTAGCAATTAGGAGAAGGTATTGATCTAGTGCTGCCGGAGATAAATATATTATTTTATATCCAAACATTGTTTCACCTTCAGAGCATTGTAGCATTTTAAAGACAAGAACGTAATCAATACCGTAATTTTCGACAAAAGTAAGACAAGATCAGTGCTCCATTCATTCTGGGACTATCCTTGCAAAAATATTTAACTGTCTTGTGGTGCATTGGTATCATCCTCCTAGCTGGACTTTACTAGACAAACTTTGCCTCATCTAAGTTTCTATCTAAATAACCGCCGCTACAGATTCGAGACTTTTCATCCACTCCTTCCAGATCCCATCAGTACTCCTGAATCCAAGCTCACCTTCGCATTTATTGGGTAGTTTAACCCAGTCGCTGTCATCAGCGACGGCTCCCCACAGCCCAGCCGGAACCAGCAGCAAGACCAATAAAGCACCGACGCCCGAAGCCATCGATGACCTCCCTTAAGGTTGCCACGCCGCCACAGGCACAACAGCCGCACGAACTAATACTCATAATCCACCCTCCGCTTCCGGGATCCTCCTCTTCTAATGTAACTATAACAACCAGCTGTACCAACCAATTGCGGCCACAGTCGTGGCACCTTCCAACAGACGGCTCGGATTGCTTCGCTTGCCAGCCAATCGAAGACTCACATAGCGCTCTCATTTCTCCAATAAGCGTGCTCTGTCCTCCTCCTTCTACCCTTGAAGTGCTACCCTCCTTACTCTCTGATTGGCCGGTCTGATTCCGTCCCTGTTTATTACGCTTACCCCATTCGTTAGAGAAGACGGGATGAATGGGTGGGAGCGAAGTGCTTGCTTCCTGATTGGTTCCAGGGCATGTTGAATGCTGTACAGTAGTAAAGTTCAGTGCTGTACAGTAGTAAAGTTCGGTGTGCTTTCCTTATATGATTCAGGTTTCACTTGTAATAGAGAAGATGTGGAGTAGATGGACCTTCCTTTGCTTCGTGCTTCTAACTAGATCTGGCCTGAAGAAAATGATAATGGAACTAAATGAGAATTCTGGGAGTTGTAGTTCAACATATTTGACAGGCATGCTATTTGGAAATAGGCTCCAGACATTTTGCTGCTGAGGCTGAGCAAAAATTGGCACCTCTTAAACAAATACTATTCAGACCAAAATGTTGCCTAAAATATTTTGAAATTGTTATTTCCTGGCAGTACAAATGCTAAGGTGACCAACTTTTTTACAAGGAGGAGAACACAAATTGAAGAAAAAAGCCAAAGCCACTTGCGTGTGGCGCACTCTTGCGCGTGGCACACTCAGAACAATTCTCTGTGGAGCGCATGCGTCTCATAATCGCGTCTCGGCGCACTGTACCAAGGCTTGACGAATCGTCATGTCAAATACAAATAAGTTACATTACACACAACGGATCGGATCGGCATCGATCAAATACAGAGATTTACAGATTAGTCTTCAAATATCAAAAAGGAGGAGGTGTAGGAGGACACTTTTCGAGAGAGGACAGAACTTACAAAAGAAGTAAGGGAGGACAGTTGGTCACCTTACAAATGCAAAAGCAGAATGAGGTTACAATTTGCTGGTGTTCACTGGGAACTGCCTAAGGCAGCTGCCTCATTCTGCTTAGGAGTCTTCTGCAAATGGGCACCCTCCAAATATATAGGACCAATTCCCACAATTGATTCTCTCTGCTGGATAGAGGAATAGGGAAGTGGAAGATGAAGTGCAACTATAAGACATCCAATGTGGGAAATCTTATTTACAAATATGCAGTAGGACAGTTGTACATTCCACTAAGCAATGGTGCTTTTTCTTACATAAATTTGTAAATGATTACAATCTTGATTATGTGCCATCAAATTGTTATCGACACTTAGTGACCACATGGAAGCGAACACCATCTCCATGATTATTTTTAGCCTGGTCCTTTAGTTCTTCCAATAGTGTCCTATGTTTCCACTGAGTATCCATCTTGCTGCTGGTTGTTCTTTTTCCTTCCACCTTTCTTAATAGAAACATGGGTGTTCAGTTTTATCAGTATGGCTACAATTGGGAAAGGTTTAATAAAACTTCCCCTTACCTTGAAGTCTTCACTCTGCTTAAAACTACACACCTCAAAATTTCAGCCCTTTATTTCTAGAGAGACAAAAGTTTCTAGGGATCAGATGGTATTGCATAATTATGCAATAATTATGGATCAGATAATTAAAAATAATAATTAGGGATTAATTAAAAATAATAATTAGGGGAAAAAAATAATTAGGGATCAGATGGTATTGCATCAACAAATAAATGCTCTGTCTTACATATTGGCAAAAATATCAGAAAATAAAATACAAGCTGAATAGTCAAGATCTTGTTGATGACCCAAGCTCTGTAAAGGACCTTGGAATACTCACCTCTAATGATCTAAGTGCTAGAGCCCACTGCAACTACATAGCCAAAAAGGCATTAAGAGTTGTTAACCTAATCCTACATAGCTTTTTCTCTGGTAATATCACACTACTAACCAGAGCATACAAAACATTTGCTAGACCAATACTCGAATACAGTTCATCAGTCTGGAACCCACATTACGTATCTGATATTAGCACAATTGAGAAAGTCCAGAAATATTTCACAAGAAGAGTTCTCCACTCCTCTACTCGTTGTAGAATACCTTATGCCACCAGACTTGAAATTCTAGAACTAGAAAACCTTGAATTACGCCGTCTTCGGTCTGATTTAAGCATGGTATATAAAATCATACATTGCAATGTCCTACCTGTCAATGAATACTTCAGCTTCAACCATAACAACACAAGAGCACACAATAGATACAAACTCAAAGTTAACCGCACCAAACTTGATTGCAGGAAATACGACTTCAACAATAGAGTGGTCAATGTCTGGAATACTCTACCCGACTCTGTAGTTTCTTCCCCAAACCCCAAAAACTTTAACCTTAGACTGTCTACTATTGACTTCACCCCTTTCCTAAGAGGTCTGTAGGGGGCGTGCATAAGTGCACCAACGTGCCTACCGTCCCTGTCCTATTGTTTCTCTTATTCTTCTTTTCTTTTTCTTATATGTACCCATTTCATGTATTCACAACTATGTATACACTTATACTTATTATCTTGTAAACAATTGGCAAATCAAATAAATAAATAAAATAATTCCATTCTGATACCCCATCCTCATCTATGAAATTGTTTTCTTTGTGCTGCAGAATACAGTATAGATCACCTGTGGTCTACTTCCCATCTCTCTTCTATTCCCACACCATACATAGATTTAAAACTGGAATAACTAAAAGCTACTCACATTGGAACTGTCCATACAGTACTTATTTCCCACAATATGCTTTTCCTGTGATTCTCTCCCCCTCTCTCTCTTTCAGTCTCTTTCTGCTTTTGCATGCTTTGTCTCATTTTTCTAGCTGTTTTGTAATAAACATCAAGCTCTATTTTTGTTAGCTGAACTACATGGTGTGCATGGTTGCTCTGATCTTGCCATATAGACTGACAGACTAATTATCCAATGCATTTAAGAAGAAATCATTGAGTTCAGTGAGTTTTTAATATAAATATACATTGGATTGAATTGTTAGTCTTTGATCACTTGATGATAACACAAAAGATGATCAAACATTTTGTATGTTATTAACTTCAAGAACTTTATAAAGTTCCCTTCTCCATTTCTCCAATTCTTAGGATGCTCCCTGCAAAATGGCTCATGAAAAGAAAAACACCTCAAGCAAGGATATCAAAGCTTTTATTGAGAGAGAAAAAAGCACCAATGAACAAAGCAGCCATCTCCACCCCAAGGGAGTAAGGGAACCCACAGAATGGAGAAAGGGGAATGCTAGCTGGGAAATTCTCGGAGTTGGTCCATATATCTTAGAGTTGCTGAGATTGAGAAACACTGCCTTAATTCATGCTAGTCTTTTTTAAAACTTCCACATAAGCCTGAAAAAAAGATGATGATGATTTAATGAATCAGACATGGTTTAATAAATGATTAAGGTAGCACATTTTAAATTCTTACATTGCATTAATCCTGATGATTAAGCAGCAACATGGAATCAGTCCGATGTGTCTTGAGGCCATCACATGCAGAGTTCCCATTGATTAAGTTTTATCAAAGATTGCCTCCATCATCCAGTTGCTGGAACTCGGGAGTTAATAACTGAATACTTCCTTATGACTGGAATTCTGAATGGACATCACAAAATGATAGGATTGGACCTCAAGTGTGCCGTAAGCTACCTTGTGCTACATTCATAGCATATCTGATAAACAGATGACCAATTTAAGTTCATTGCTGTTTGAGGCAGTCTGTTCCAGATTCCTTGAAGCATTTAATGCATTTAAAAATATTAGCAGTTCTTTTCATGTTTCTTTTTAATAATTTGAGCTTATAGTAACAATGCACTACAATTTTGCTTATCTTTTGTAAAGGATGCAGCAGGTCATCAGTACATTAAACATTAGGAACTTGAACAGCAAAGTTCTGATGGCCAGAAGATGTAATTCTTGTGTACGATTATGCAGAATTTCAGTAGACAACATCTGTTCCTCCACTACTATAAAAAGCAAACAAGAACCATATTATAGAGTAATATTTGTAGCAAATACTCAGACATTTTTGGTCCTGATGTATTCAAATGAAAATTTTGGTGCTTTTATTAACTATCTCTTTGAACTTGCTTTAAACCAGAAGTTCAGAACCAGGATGTATTACTGTACAGTAAATTGTTAATGTGTGTCACTACAGTTTTACAAGTCATTTGCTCTGTTGGTTGAAAAATCATAAATATTATTTTAATCTGTTTGTTCAGCTACTTTAGTCTCATAGAAATCATGTAAACAAAAATATAGTATTCAGACATGCGACATTCTGATAATATTCGGTGAATTAGTTAAACCTCAATAGGTTTTATTTGGATTGATTATTTATTCAATTTATTTATTTATTCAAACTCAACCAAGTGATTCTGGGCAGCTTACAATTTTAAAATTATAAAACAATTTTAAAAAATTAAAATGATTAAACATCCACAAAATCACTAAGTACAAATAGCAGCTGTGGTGATTAATCAACTAATAGTAAAACTAAGCAATGGGACCCTTAACACATTCCAAGCCCAGGCCTGGGTACACAATCAAGTTTTTACAGCTTTGCAAAAAGCCAACAGGATTGGGGCCATTTTAATCTTTGAGGGGAAAATATTCCATAAGGCAGGACTACATTTAAAAAGGCTGTCTTCTAGTCCCTGGCAGCTGACACCCTTTGGGCTGACAGGTTCTACAGCAAGCCCAATCTGTTGGATTGGATTAGATGGATAGAAACTTGTAGAAAAGGACAGTCACTCAGGTAACCCAGTATCAAGCTACGTAGGGCTTTAAAGGTGATAAGCACCTTGAATTACACCCGGAAACACACCAGCAGGTAGTGCAGCTCGAGGAATAATGGTGCTACATGTGCCATATAGTCGGCACCATTTATGTAGCTATATTTCCACCAGTTGAAGTTTCTGAATGCTCTACAAGGGCAGCCTTTCTGTTGACTGAAAAAAGGTAGAGCATAATAACAATGATCAAATGAATGGTCCATATAAAATGATCAAATGAAGCAAACTCCCCTCTGAAAACTGACTCTCTAACTACTTGGAACATAAAGAAATATTCTGTGTTTACCTCCTTGATTTTCATACAGGCATAGATCATCCATATGTTGCTCCTCTGGAAAAAAATAATAGTATGAAACATTATTTTCTTGAATCCTTAAAGCTTCCAAGTAATTCATGTTTTTAGTAAAGTTAATGAACAGATTGATTTTTAACAGCATTCTCTTCATCTAGATTTTAGGACTTGTGTGGAGAATAGATCATGTTTTACATAATGTTTATGCAGAAATATTGAAAAGTCAGAAGACTTCACAAACTTTTAAGCACCCAATTCAGTTATTAGCGATAACCGATATATCTATTTCTGGTCTGGCCAACCCTAATAAAATTGTTATTTATTTATATGGGGCCAACATGCACAAATTAATTTATTACTTTATATTGAGAAGCAAAGCCCCGGTGTGTTTGGGTTTTGCTTGTTTTGTGAATTCAGGCGCACTTGTAAGCAAAAATTTTATGACTTGGCATGACATGCTAAAGTAGTCAACTCTGTATTATTTAATAAACAATCATTAAGTCAGAGTTAATCCAATTTATGACTAATTGCAATAATATTATCATTTAATGTATTTTTTACTCTTAAATATTTCCTTCCCCCTTTGATAAATACCAGAGATTTGTAGAGAGGTAGTGTTCCATATTCTTGAGTTTTGATTTTGTGCAACCGAGCAAATGACAATATTCCATGATTCAAATTCTTTGCTGGGTATGGAAATTTGTGCGATTGTGCTGAAAGAGCCATCTTCTTCCTTGAAAATGCCGTAAGTATAAGAGTCCAACATGGTCCCATTTCCATTAGAAAACCAAATTACTCCTAGTGAGTTCTCGGAGAAGTCATTCACCAAACATATAAACAGGGTCTTTCTTTCACCATTTATTTCCAGATAGAGTGGTGGTGTCAGAGTTGAAAATAGACCTAAGGAGTGGTGACCTGTTATTCAAAGAAATGGTTTATTATAAAGATGCATGCTCAAAATTAGTTTAGAAGACTATTTTCCCCTATGGAAATAATAGTGCATTATTAAGATTATTGTTGTTTTTGGAGGTTCACTAGGATTTATCTCTTTTTCCATAAAAATATAGTTCCTTCCTTTCCTTCTCCTTGTACTGTCACTTATGTTCATTCACATAATTGTTACATTGTCTTATTTATGTAACTCACCTATGTTTTTCCAATTGATTTTCTTTTCTTTTTTCCAAAGAAGTTTTGAAAAATTTACTCACATGTCAGAAGCTGGAAAACTGCAATGATCAAGAGATGCCCAAATGGCCTCCAGGCCAGGTTCACTTGGAAAGCCCACAGCATCATTTCAAGGAGCAAGGATGCTTCTGAAAATGTGTGTTTGTAACTGACAAACTCAACTGAAGTTCTTTCTGACCACTGTTTTCCTTTCCCATTGGTAACAGCTGCACAGCTGCTTGGCAAAACCTCAAAGTTTTTGCTTAAGTCACTCTCCTTTTTTATATTTTCAAAATGGCTTGTCTCTTTGTATTGCCATTGCCACAAACAGATTTTGCATTAGTATTAAAAAGTAACTGTATCTGAAGCATGAAGAGATGATACAAACACCTGTACACATACACATCACATTTATTTATTGATTTTAACCATCTCAAACTGTCCCTGGACAGCATGTATATATATTGACTGTTAATGTATCATCAACTCATTTTTTTTTATTCTGTGACCACACAGATGGATTTTGTCCATGGCATTTTGCCCCTAACCCAGTCTTCCTACTGTGCATTTGTCATCACTGTAATTGAGTCCATCCAGCTGGTTGCTAGTCGTCTTCTTTCTTTCCTCCTTTCTTAGCATTAGAGTCTTTTCTATAGAGCTAGATATCTGCATAATATATCCAAAGTAGGATAATTTGAGCCTGGTCATTTGTGCCTCAAGTGAGAACTTGGAGTTGATTTATTCAGTGATCTATTGGTTTGTTTTCTTGGTTGTCCACATATTCTCAGGAATCTTCTCCAACACCAAAATTCAAAAGCACCAATATTTTTCAGTCAATATCTTCTTCAATGTCCACAGTATATACTTATACAACACACCTACAAACAGTTTTTTTAAAAGGCAAAGTGTAATTAGCATCTCTCACAGGTTTTAGAACATGTTAACATCTGTTGGGAGGAATAAGGAAGACAACTGGAACAGGTTTTGTAACTCTTTAAAACAACAAACTTTCTTGAATCAGACTCATTGTCTTTAGTTTCAAGGAACTGTCTTGAAATAGGCAATATGTGGACTTCATTGGGGAGAGTAATAAATACAGGGAATGCTAAAAAGTGACCAGATTTGTTAATGGTAATTTCTTAGGTAATTCTGTCTTTGACCAGATCATTTTCAACAATGGCTGTTTATTTAATTCTCCTGTGTCACTATTGTCAAGGCACTTAATAATGTAATCTGTGATCCATTCACATATTAATATTTGAAATGCTACAATATTCTTGGTGGTTTTTGCAAACAACTAACTCAGCCAAAAGTAAAGCCAAGTCAGCTCTACTACTTGTGACTTCGTGAATTATTTATTCATTTTATATAGCTGTCTACTCCACATTCATGACTCTGGGATGCTTCCAATTAAAACATAAACAGTACATATATATATATATATATATATAAAGCAAACATACAAATAACCCAAAATGAATATATCTATGTACTGTAGTTTGGAGATAACTGATTTGAGCTGTAAAAAAAATCAGAACCATCTTGGCAAATGTAAAAGTAATTTGTCACTGCTGCCTTCTGGGATTATTATTTTTTTTTTTTTGCAATTTTTTAAAACCTGCAACTTTGATCGTGTTTCTTGCTTTCTCATCCAAGTTCTAAGTAGGACCCATCCCACTTGCCTTTTCACACCAGACTACCTCTCTGGAAATTCATATGAACTGTAAATTAGGGTTAAACTCCGCGTTTTTCAAACTTGACAACTTTTAAAATGTGTGGACTTCAACTCCCAATGCTGACTGGGGAATTCTGGGAATTGAAGTCCATACTTCTTAGAATTGCCAAGTTTGGAAGACACTGAGTTAAACTTATGAATGAATATCAGACCTGGGCTGTCAAAAATCCGGGTCGTCCCCCCCCTCCCCAAGTCACTTAGTATATCTTTCCAAAGTTGGCCTAATACACTTCGATTTCTGCCAGTGCCAAAGGCCTTCAGAGGAAAGAAAGCCTTATTTCTCGTTAACGAAAGAGGCCCAGAACCGAATAGCGCCCAGTTGCAAGTTGTGATATTTCCCCGCTAATAAAACGAGCTTGGTACGGCCTGTCCTCATTCTCCCTCCTGGCTGCCTTAATTGCAACTTCCGGGAAGGATTCCGTAAAGCGGGCGGGATTTCGCTTTTGGGGGGGAAAAGAGTTTGGCACTGAAGGTCTTTTTTTCCCCCGGAGTCTCTCTCTTTCTGGAATGGGTAAGGCGGAAGGGGTTCTGTAGGGCAACAGGACGGTTTCTCTGGCTCTTTGAAGTTCCCGGGCTTTTAGGAAGCGCTGCGGGGCCCTGCTTTGCAGTAAACACGCTATTCACGACACGGGGAAGCGGGGGGGGGGGGGGGGAGCGATCCCTGAAGGAAATTGTATACTGCATGTTCAGCCTGAAAGTCCGCGGAGCTGTCGCTCTTTCGAAGCACCAAACCAAAGCGATCACAAAGCGGGTGGCAGGTCGAGTCCTCCGCCCCGTTCCTCACGTATTACGGGATGACTAAATGTATGGCCCTTCAAATGAAGGAGTTATTTGTGCCAGAGCCCCGGGACTACTTGGGAAGAAGCCTTTTCGCGGGCGGTTGGCTGTTCATTCTCAGGGTTGAGGGTGGGGAGGGGGGCAAAGGTGCGGCCAAAGGCAAAGATGGCAAAAATCCCATTTCTCCCCGTGTTTAGGGACGCGCCTGAGGTTTCCACTAAGAACCGGGTGATCAGTGTTGTGGATTAGCCTTCCGAAGAAATGGAATCTGCTGTAGCGGAGACCGCAAGTGGATTTCCCAGGGCAGGAAGTGACAGCAAGGAAGAGGGACAGAACAGCCCTGCCGACCCACCTCCTGCTCCAGATACCTCTGTGTCATTTTCACAAATGCTTCACCTGATCCAGACTGGACAGGACATCCCTGGACTCCAGAAGTTAAATATCTCCGCCACGAATGGGAGTCCGACACCATCACAGATGACTCAGAAACCCAAGCCGTGGGAGACAAAAGCTTGACCAAGTGGTGGAGTTGGAAACTTTGAATGAGAGATTTAGCACTCTATTGGATATTAAATAAATATCTTGGCCTTTCAGTTCTAAAATGATTGAGTGTACTGTTAAAAATAACAGTTTGTTTCCGTGAAAGCCAATATCCAAAGATGATTTCTGTGGTGTTATATATTCATACCTGCACATACCTTTCACATTCTTTTGCTAGATATAGGTGAGGCAAGGAACTTAAAAGTTTCTACTCTTAACTGGGCTCAAATTTCTCACTTATCATAAGGTGGTTTGTTTAGTTTTGGCTTAATGTGGTGTGTGAAGTAAAATGAATCACATATTTCACAGACCATGGCTTATAAAAATAATTGAAATACATAGAATTAAACATAACTGTAAATATTTGGGTTTTAGTTTGGTCTCAAAATACAAGATCTTGATAGCAAAAATAGAGAATGTGTGACCTGCCAGATGGAGCCCAACATTCCCACCATTTTGAGCATATTTGACTGAGTACAGCAGCCAGTAGATTTCCTTCACTAGCTAAGTTCATAGGGGAGACGAATGCTATAAACATAGTCTCAAGATTCTGAGATTGTAGTGTGCATATATGCGTATGTGTTTAATTTAAAAAAATACTGTAATAAACATGAAAAGAAAAGCAGTAAAAAAGTGCAAAGAAATAAATAGAGAAAAAAAGACAAAAGTTATATAGAACAACTTCTGGTCTTCTTAATAATTACAAGTACGTTTATATTTTACTCTATGGTTGTAACATAAATTCTTTCTTTCCATAGTCTATTCTTTCTAAACCCTTAAATCACAAGTTCATTTTTTTCTTTCTTTCAGCAAAAAGTCCATAGCAGGTTTTCAGTATTAATAAATGTAGATATTGTCTTTCCATTAATTAAGCAAGTCAAGTTTGCTATCTCAGCTAATTTTGTCATCTTCAGCAATTATTCCTCTTGTGGGTATTTCATAGTTCATTTTTGGGCATATAATAATAATAACAATCCTAATAATAGTAATAATAATAATAATCTTGCTTAGTTTTTTGAAGTTGCCAGTCAGTCAGTTACGAGTTGTTGCTTGCCTGGTTTCAAGTGACATGATGGAATCAAAAAGATTTTTCATTGTGTCCCAAAGGTGCTTTTCCAAGAAGCAACTGGACTTTCTGGTTTGTTTGTTTTTTGGAAGACATTTCGCTTCTCATCCAAGAAGCTTCTTCAGCTCTGAGAAAAAACAAAAGAAAAACCAGAAAGTCCAGTTGCCTCTTGAAAAAGTGCCTTTGGGACAACCATGACCTGGATGACTGAGAATCTCCATAGACATTTTTCATTGTGGTTTGTTAATCCACAATTTATTAAAGGAGTGTCGGGACAATATCTTTAAGGGAGAAAATGAAGATATAAGTATGTGGAAACATCACAATCAAGCCTCTTTATAGATAGTTAACCTTTCCCAATGGGGTATTTTCCCGATGTAGTGGGTTATAGCTCCCCAATTCACTAGATAGCACCAACTTGGAGGATGGGATTTACCTGTTCGCCAAACCATAAAATTAGCTACCGGTTTTCCCGACTTCCGGTTTGCCAGGCTGCGGCGGCGGCGGGGATTCGCGATCCTGCGCGATCCCTGTTGCGCTAGCCGTCTTGGTGCCTCCGATCCTGACGGGTCTGGAGGATAAGGCTGCCCCGTAGAGGCAGCCGAAGATAGGGAGGATCCGGAGAGGGGTTTGGGGGTATCGCAGACCCCCTCCCCACCCGGCATAACCTCCTTTTCTCAAGGCGGTGGAGCGGCGGTCAGCAATGGCCGCCACAAAGAAGCCGGCAGCTGGATAAGATTGTGCTGGAGGAAGGAGAAAGAAGAAACAGGAGAAGTGAAAGTGCTGGCTGAGCCGGGACAATAACAACTTTCAAATACCCTGGAAACTGAATTGCTTGAATTGCCTGAAAGATACATTGTATCCCTAAGAAGATTGGAAAGCTGCGGAGAAAGCTGTCAAGGGAAAGTTTTTTTTTCTTCACTCTCCCACCCCATATAAAGCCAAGGGATAAAGGTTTCCTGGACATTGGATTTAACAACTTAAGAAATCGGAAAACCTGTATTGGAGGTATGGATTTCTGAACATTTAAAGGAAAATTGTTGTTGTAAGTGGGAAGGGAGAGGAAAAAAAATTGGAGCAGAATTTGAAAAAGGAGGAGATTGCCTAGAACTTTAAAGAAAGATATATCTTAATTGGAACTCTTTGATTAAACAGTAACCCCAGAAAGAGAAATAGAAGAAAGAAAAAAAGTATTAAAAGAAATAGTTTATTTGGACTCTTTGGTGACTTTGGAACTTTTTGGAATTATTCTTGATTAAAAATACTTGGGTGGTTGTTTTGGAAAAAGTTTTTCTCTTCACGATGGCATTGCTTGTGGTTGAACTAAAAATTGAATATCAAAAATATAAAAAAGAAGAACAAGATGGAAAAGATACTTTGGGCACTCTTTTTCAATTTCTAGAAATGGCGGTATGCACTTATGAAAAATTGACTACGCAGCAGGACGACTGGGACAAAGAAGAAGAAGAAGCCATCTTTGATGAACAATGGGTTCTTTTTGGGGAGGAGGAGAAAGAGGAAAAGAAAAAGGGGATTTTAAGGTTTGAAAAAACAACCAAAAAAGAGAAAAATAAGATGAAAGGTGGATACAAGGTTAGAAAACAACAGAAAGGGGGTAAGCAGAAGAAGAAAAGGAAGGAGGAGAGACAAAGGGGTAAAAAGGGCAAGGAGAAGAATAAGCAAGAGAGAAAGGAGGGAATGAGAAGCCATAATGGTGGGAAGCAAGATTTAAAGAAACAAAACTTATTTAGAGACAATGGGTAAATCTAATTGAAAAAGGGATTCTGGAAGGTACATAAGATTGTGTTTTTATATGTGTATTTAGAGTAAAATGTTTAAGATATAAATGAGCATCAATATATATGATTAGCTTTTTAATGGTATTGATAGTGGTTTTATATGCTTTTATTTTGTTATTGTGTTTTTGTTTTTCTCATAAAATTTATTGTGTAATTTTAGAATGTCCCAAAAGCTGTGTAGACAAGTATAGACAAGTATATATCCCAATATAAATTAAGTGTTATATTAAGTATTATTAAGTTAGGGGAAAGAGTCAAAGACGTCACTCCAATCAGTGTACAGGAGAAGTATATTTAAAGAGAAAAGATGAATGGATAGCTGGAAATAGAACAGACAAAGAATGATAGGTATTATGAATTGAATTGAGATAAGATAAATAAAATAAAACTAAGAAAGATAAAAGAGGGAAGAAGCTATATAGAAAATTGAAAATGGTAATAAGATATGGAATGATATATAAAGTAAATATGATTTTTGAATTTGTGTCTGTGCGAAGAGTTTTAACCCGAAATTAAGCAGCTTTCAGAAAAGATGTTTTATGTTTTTTATGTTTTATGTTTTGTATGTTTGTGTATTGTTTTTGAAAGGCAATAAAATTTTAATTAGCAAGAAATATAATTTGGATAATAGAATGAAAAGGAGAAGTTGGGATAAGATATGAAGTTGAACAGATAACGTAAACATATATATTATAATTTGAAACTATTTTGTATGTTGTATTGGTTTTCTTAGAAAAGATCTTTTATGTTATTATGCCTTGATTGTGTATTGTTTTGTAAAACTAATAAAATTTGTCTTTAAAAAAAAATAAGCTACCGGTTTTCCCGAACTGGGACAAATCGGTAGCAGCCCACCCATTTTGATGTGAACATTTTGTTCCAGTACTCATTATTTGTTTGTACTCAACACACAAGCTACAACTTGTCACTATTAGCTGCCTTGTGACTCATTACATTATTCCTTATGGGAAAAAATTGTTTGGTACTCATTGTTTTTGGTACTCATTGCACCTTCTGAAAGCAATTAATGTGTACCAAGGTACCACTGTACTTACAACTTATTTTTTTTCCAAATACTTGTCTACACAGCTTTTTTTTAAAAAAGTGTCACCTTAAATTGAAAATGAGCAAGGAGTGCTGAAGAATTAAAGAAAACCCTAATGTCTAGCTGCTAACATCTTTTAAGCCACAAAGTCAGCCTCTGCTTGTTGCAAGCAAACATGCACCTGAATAGTTGTGCTCTGCAGTTTAACCAAAAGTCATGTGTCACAACTTCTGGAAGTGCACCTGCTGTTGATGCTGTATTACTAAGTGGCTACATGTAAAATGCTGATTGTTGGCAAGGCAGTTTTTTATTTCCCTAAAACTATTTTCCTCTCTGTTGATGCCTATTATCATTCAGAGAAGCTACTGATGAGATGCAAAGTTGGTCCTCTTTATAAAGCATAGTTAGCTGTACTAAATCATGATTTGTCTGAATATGGTATAGCGAGTAACCTGTAACTGGACAGATTTGCAGAAAATGCTCGGCAGCAAATCATAGTTTATAAACTAACTGGCTTTTAAATGTGATGCACTAAGCTATTTGGCTTTGGATTAGTGTGCTACATGAACCTGTCCTAAATTTTGCCATGTCTACTTTATTGCTCTTTTATAGGAAAACCAAAATACACATTTTATGATTAGGGGAGAAAAACACAGTACCTATTGGAACAGCAGTTTCTTCAATAATTCATACTACGAAGCCCATGTTGTGTAAGACATTTTGGAAAACAAATGATACTGTTCCTAAGCAGAGTTTGAATAATATTGGCTGAAATAACATCTTGAATTGTAAGACTGGTGAAAGGTTAGGACAGAATCATAGTAATGGCCACATGCCCCCCTCAATAGCAATTAAACATCTTCTCTTCCTGTACTTAGAGCACTCAACCTTGGCAACTTTAAGATACGTGGACTTCAACTCCCATAATGCTAGCTGGGAATTCTGGGAATTGAAGTCTATAATCTTCAAGTTGCTAAAATTGAGAAACAGAGTCCTGTTCCTTAATGACCGCATGGACACGCCCATATAATTTTCTTGCAATGGGATGGAAGTGGTTGCTATGGTGTTCAGTCTTTTAGGTTTTTTTTTTTTTAATCCCAGTCTAAATTAACAGCCTTGCAGTTTCCTGGTGATCCCTGTGAGGTCCAAAGCCACTTAAGCCTTTTTAAAATCAGTCAAGGTTGACTAATCCTATCTTCTGCTGCGATTATTTATCCAAATAGAATTTTGCTATTATTAGTGACATGCAGTTTCTGTTCTCCATATATTGTTTACAGCAAAATACTGTGATTTTTTAAAAAGATATGCAAACACTGGTTGGTGTTGATGTAATTTCTGGGTAAGGTGCTCTTAAGTTTCCTGTTCTAAGTAATATAATGTCTCTGTTCAAATGTCACAGTAATGAAAAAGCTTATTTATTAAATATTTATTATTAAATATTAAAGAGGCTTTAATATTAGAGGCTTCAGAGGTTGAAGATTGTTCATTAACCTGGCTGTTTATAAAGAAAAAAGCAAGACAATGATTGCTGGTTTTCCTGCTCAAACGTGATTTAGATGCTTAACTAGTTTTGAGAAGTAGAAATGTTCCTGTGGTTAGATGAGAATAGAAAAAGCTTCCTTGAATAGGCACAAGGTTGCATTCAATGAATTTTTGATACATGTACCAATTGTTATTTCTCTCTATACTGTTCTTCCTCTACTTTGTTCCAGAAGCAGAAGATGGGCAGCAATGTAGGACTTAAAGATCTCTTCAACTTACTGCCTTTCTCCTAGTTGAGAATAAAAATCGATTAGCAAAATGGAGTGTGTGAATTTGGGTGTCATTAATAGAATGGAATTCTTCTTTGGCCAAGTGTGATTGAACACACAAGGAATTTGTCTTTGGTGCATATGCTCTCAATGTACATAAAGGAAAAAAATTACATTTGTCAAGAATCATAAGATACAGCACTTAATGATAGTCATAGGTTACTAATTAGCAATCAAATCATACTAGGAAACAAATAAAACAATATAAATTGTAAAGATACAAGTAACACGGTTATAGTCAGAAGTGGGAAAAGATAGGTACTAATAAGGATGAGAGGAATAACAGTAATACAGTCTTAGTAAATAAGTTGACAGCATTGTGGGAATTAGTTGTTTAACAGAGTGATTGGCATTCAGGAAAAAACTGTCCTTGTGTCTACCGTAGTTCTGGTGTGAAGTGCCCTATAGCAGGGGTCCCCAACCACCGGGCCGCGGACCGGTACCGGGCCGTGGAGCACTCTCTACCGGGCCGCAAAGAATTTTTTTTTAAAAAAAATTCTGCCTGCCTGCCTGCCTGCCTTCGTTAATGGTTGAATCGGAACAGCTTCGGCTGAGTAAAAGAGGCGAATAGTTATTATTCTCAGCCGAAGCTGCTCCCAAACAACCAGAAACTAAGGCAGGCAGGCAGAACGGGACACTGTGGATTGAAGCGCGCACGCGCGGGCGGGCGGGGTGGGGGTGGGGGTGAAACGGGTGCTTCGGAATAGCTGCGGCGACAGGAAAAGCCCCCCCCCCCGCTTCTTTGAAGCAGTTTCTTCCTGGGCTGGTGGAGCAGCGAGAGAGCGAAGCCTCCTTCTCTTCTCTCCCCCCCACCCCCCGTCCTTGCAAAAATTTTCTGCTTGAAACCGGTCCCTGGTACAAAAAAGGTTGGGGACCACTGCCCTATAGTGTCGTTTTGAGGGTAGAAGTTGAAATAACTCATGTCCAGGATGTGAGGGGTGTATAGATATTTTCACAGCCCTCTTTTTGACTAATGCAATATACAGGTCCTCAATGGAAGGCATGAATAAGTAAAAGGTTCTTTGGGGCTGTCAGCCTTGAATTAATTATGAGCTTATTAGTGACATTAGTGATTGCACAATGTCAATAATAATGACAAAAGGCTGTTTAGATAAATAATCCCAACAGAAGGTAGGATTAGTCAACCTTGACAGATTTTGAAAAAGCTTAAGTGAAACAGATACAACAATTCCAGGAACACTACTTTATTGTGATAAGTTATAACAACAGAATATTGAATGCTTGTCTGCCCCACATTATACAGGACAAAATCAAGGCAGGGCTATTGTTCTGTTACATGCTATCCACCTTGCACAAACTGAGTTAGTTTCACTCCTTTTGGGGTTCATTTCTTCCAAGATGATCTCTACATTCCTTTACCAAAGCCAATCTAGGCACAATCATTGCCCAGGCTGCTTTACCCACAAGAGTTTTTGTCTTTCTGTTATCTCCATGTTTTACTATATTTTGAAGTATGCTATTTGTACATTAAGGAGGAATATCTTTAGGTATAAGATTACATCAATCTTCACTCTGTTGATAATCTGTGCGTTTATGTGCACTGTGCAAAAGGTCATTAAAAAAAGATCACAATGGGTAAAAGTCTATTTGCATCATACTTTCCTTAAGGATGAAAGCTGCAGCCATTCTAAAGTTACTAAACACTTCTGATCAGGATAGAAATTAGGATAAGAAGCTGTGAAGTTAAGACTGGAGTCCCATAATTGAAACTGTTGCCTTGGCTATAGATGAAAGGACTAATGTCCAAATGTAGGTGGTGGAATAGAGACTAGACCTTGAATTTCTGTTTTTATTTTTCCTTTCTTCTGCTCACTAATCCAGTCCATTTTACATTGGTTCAGATGCCAAAAACAGATACTACTGAAGCAATAAAATATTCTATTTCTGACTTTCTAGAAATCTGAAAAATAATTCCATTTTAATAACAAACTTTTTTCTTTACAATAACAAGAATTGGAAGGGACCTTAGAGGTCTTCTAGTCCAACCCCCTGCTTAGGCAGGAAACCCTACATCATTTTAGACAAATGGTTGTCCAATCTCTTCTTAAAAACTTCCAGTGTTGGAGCATTCACAACTTCTGGAGGCAAGTTGTTCCACTGATTAATTGTTCTAACTGTCAGGAAATTTCTCCTTAGTTCTAGGTTGCTTCTCTCCTTGATTATTTTCCAGTCACTGGGGAACAAAAATTAATTGCCAATCATATATCTTTTTAATCTTTTGATTAAAAGGATCCTTCTACCTTCTAGCTTTCTGCATATGCGAGACTCAAACACCCTAGATAAAACGCAATGAACTGTGATGATCTCCAATAAATATAATTGAAGTTTTTTTTTTCTGGTCAAAAGCCTAAGCAGTACTTTAAATAATTAACCTAGAATGAAATCCATTAAAATCAGTACCCATTTGATTTAAAGTTTTATTTTAAAAAGCTCAGTCTCACTCCCACAGAGTACACAGATTTTTTTTCTGCAATTTATGATCAAAATAGGCAACATTTCAGCAATGTTCTAAAAAAAGTCGACAAGTACTTTAATACCGTAAAGAAAAATCATCTGAATGCAAATTACAATTTTCTTTCTGTTCTGAACAATGTTAGATAAATGGGAAAAGTAAAACAAGAACTACTCCATTCCTAAGCCACTTTCAAATCATGACTTCTTGCCAGATGCAGGATATAGATTATGAAAGACACATATGCAGATCCTGACTGACAGTCAAGGCTGAATGTCAAACAGATAAAAATAACTCAAGCAGACAGTGCAGCCATCTCCCTTCAAAATGGAAAGAGAAAATATTACAGAAACTTTCTGGGTATTTATTAAATACAAACCAGTCAGAACTCCTTTAATCTTTAATTCAAGGTAGGAGTTGCAAAAACGAAAAGAAAAAAAAAAAGAACAAGCCATCATGTTGCTCTTTTTCCTTTCCTTATAATAATAGCCACATCAAGGAAAGTGCTATAAAGGCACTTTGACATCACTTCTCAGTGCTAACTATTAGGCTGCAATTAAAAGACTGTTCTGCTTAAACAATGTAGACAACGATTAAATACTGAAACGTGATAGGGGCATCTCAGCATCTACTTGTTTTCTATGGAAAAAGCTTCTGAACGTCATTTCCTATGTTTCCAATGTAAACCCCAAAGAGTAAAAGAAAAATTATTGGGCTTTCTAGGAACAAGGAGTATTGTGTTGAATTAAATTAGCATTCAATCCTTTTAGAAAGACTCAAGACTTGTGCTATTAAGCTTATTAAATAATTCCAAACATCTCTAGGGTGGTTTTTTAATGTAGAAAATATGCTGAGTGTCCCTTTCCTTATAAATATATATCAGTCTGATCTTACAGTACTACACAAATGAATAAGTCCTTTTATAACAACTTCTATAGAATTAGAAAAGGACAGCTCAGTTGCCATAATTACTGTACATCAAGTTTCACTTTGACATTAATAGCAGCCAATTCTGCCACAAAGCAGCGGAAGACATAAGGGACAGCAATTGTTTCAATGGTGCTACTTTGGTCACAAGAGGCACAAACGTATTGCCGGGCACAAGTGGTGGACCAGGCTGGTGGAGCTTTCAGGAGAGGTGAGAGGAGACTACCACAGTCAACACAAACGTGGGCCACTGAACGATCTGAGCAATTGAAGAGACGATCGTGCAGCAAAAAGGACGTGCCATGAGCCAACAGAGCATCCCGCTCCATCTCCCCAAAGCGGATGCCGCCCTGAACGTTCCTTCCTCCAATGGGCTGGTTGGTGACTTTATCGCGGGCCCCTGTAGTCCTCACCTG